ATTTTTGCCGCATTTATAGCATTTGAATTTCGTTTTGTCCTTATTTCTGAAATGGAAAGTTGGTTGAAAGTTTTGTTTTGTTCTGAAATTTCTTTCCTCCTCACAAGCTGCCTCTACAGCATTTGTGAAGTCATCAAACCTGCTAGCCTTTATAACTAACTGAAATGGACTTCGTAGTCCGTCAACAAAAGCCTTTAGTGATGATTTTTTGTTTAAATTTTCTATAGTTACTCTAGCGTTCTGTCCTTCACTAGCTACGCAAGCGTCATTTAGATCTATGGTGAGTTTTTCTATTCTATTAGCAAATGCTCGAACATCCTCGTTGGGATATTGTCGTGCGCTCAATAACTCCGTTTGAATCTGAGCAATGGTCCTTCGCTCAAGGTACTGACTTTGTAAAATTAACTTGAATGCTGGCCAATCATCCATTACTTTATACTTGATTACATTATAGGCTGGGCCAGATAATTTGGATTTAGCTATATGCATGAACATTACTTGTTGTGCCCTCGTGTTAGCAATTTCCCAAACGACATCACAGCATGATAAAAATTTGTGTAAGTTTTCTCGATTCCCATCAAATTCAGGGATCATTTTAAATGCAAATTCGTTTGTGAATGCCATATCTGCAATGTCGATAGGGGGCTGATTTTCCTGATCAGCTGCTGGTATATGTAAATTAGCTATATCTACCATCAAAAATGATACAAAAATTAGACAATAAATGGACAATGTTACAAAAATATGAATACCTTAATGATGATGACGAATTTGGATATCCCTGTGGATTAACACTTGCCACTGACACTTTGCACTTCCTGATATCAAGATGGAAGGAGATGGCTGCCCTGAAGCGAAGATCTATGACGATGATTGCGGATTAACACTTGACACTAACACTATGCACTTCCTGGTATCCAGATGAATGAAGATGGATGCTCTGAAGCGACGATCTACGATGATTGTGGAACAGATTGTGTTCTCGATGCCCAACAACTACTTTTTACGTAGGTATTCCAACAGCAAAAAGGGATACTTTCAACGCGCGGCTGTTCGCTGAAATTTACTTTCAACCACCTAACGCCGGTTATCCACAATTTCAGCTCTTTCGCTGGAATTTAACACCCAAAACACCTGACACCACTGTTGTAGTTGGGGTTGGAAGGATCAAGAAAACACAACTGATCTCTGGTTCCACAAAAGATGTATTCAAAAACTTGCGACAGTTACCACAAAAATGCCGGTTGACATTCTCGGCATACAGGAATTACATTCAGTGCGGTGTCGAGTGATAATCTACCTTTTATTCTAACAATCTCCACTTTTATAGCTGACGCATAAAGACGCCTAAGTGTCACCAAGACGCCGTCGCGTGATGGTAATTGACCAATAGAAAAATGACATGCAAAATGGTAGGTATGTAGAACATTTGGAGTCAGCAAGCTTATTCGCGAATAAAATACCATCAGCATAAAAATAGAGATTGCAATAATTAATAACGCAATATGGCATCATGAGAATTAATGTAATCAAAAATAGTAATAAAATCAGTAGCACCTCGTAGAGGGTGTGAAGGGTACTTCACAACAAGTTGAAGGTTCAGTTTCAAGAATTTCTCCATTTGAAATATCTGGAGATTCTGGACATCTTTCTCCGTTGCTTCTCATATCTGTTTTTTTCGAATCCACTAATATCATTTTTTACTCGAAATATTTCGTTATCACTCTTAAGGGAAGTGGAATTGATACAACAAATTTATAGTCTCTTGATTAAGTTACTCTTTTTCCATTCCAAAAACGATACTATCTTGATTTCTCACCATATCCCACCATTATTGCTTGTAATGCTCGAGGTTGTAGTTTACTTTCTGGTTTCTGAGCTTCATTGGGGATATGAACATTTGCTTATAGTCCAAAGTATTTGTACGATTTCAAGTTTGAGGTTATAGAATAATTCAAATGGTATCCTTTCGATGAAAGAATGTGTTGATCGATTTTTCGTATATACTGTGTGAGCTATTGCTTCTGCCCATAACGAATGTGGTAACTCAGAATTGATAAGAATAGTCCTGGCCATTGTTGTTATTGTTCTGCTCATAATCTCAGCTAAATTTGTTTCGTGTTTTCTTAGTATCGAATTCTGTATATCAATTCCATTACTTTTCAAGAAATCTCTTAGTGATTCAGAAGTGTATTCTCCTTATCAGATTTGAATGTTTTCACCTTCTTTCCAGTTTCCCGCTCAACTCTGTTGATAAATTCTCTGGACAGCGAATTCAACTTCATTCTTCTGAGTGATAAATGTAACCAAAATTTATCGAGAATATCTATCTATGAAGGAGACATGATAATACTTCCCTCCAAGGGGTTTTGTAGAAAATAGCCCGGCAAAATCTGAATGCATTTTTTCAAGTACTTCTGAACATAAATGCCTGCTCCACAATCAATTATTGGACGATCATTTGGTGATATATCTGGCACTCCAACTACCTGTCTCAGATCTTGAAATGCACGTATCGGCAAACGTCCTGATCTTTTTTGCCAAATGGATACGCTGATATTTCCTGAATCCAAATTGGGATTTGCTATTTGTGAGATATTCTCTCTACATTTGGTTTTGTCGAGAAAATTCACTAAATCATCTTATTCTGATGGCATGAATCGGTATGAATCCACAAATCTCAATTTCAAATTTGTTTTCGAATTATACTTTGTGAATATACCAACCCCTCTTTGTTGATAAGTAGCAAGGTGATGTGCGAATGTTTTGCTGAATCTCTGATGATGAAGTGGCTATAATAGCCAGATAAGTTGTGGAAAAAACTGGTACAACGCGTGATTTTCTGTAATTAAGATTACAATTAGAATGACAAAATCCACGAAATCTCCCTGTATAATGCTTGTGGTCACGTACGATAGTATCGAACATAGTGAAAAATTCTTCACAAATGTGACATGTAGTATTGTCTTGAATATCGTGATTATCAATCTTCATCGGTATATTGACTTGCGAAATCATTGATATTATTAAAATTTGTCAATGTAAAAAAAATTCAAATTATTGCTCATTCGTGGTTCCAGAACTGTCCAATGTCCGAAGGATAGCTTCTGAGCTCAGGTAGATGAAATCATCCTATTAGATGGTACATCCCAGTGATAATCTGCAGCATCTGCAGATGGATGCAGAACATGGGCAATATCTAGGTACTCCAGGCAATCAGGAGTCGAAGGAAAAAAGTATCATGGGAGCCACCCAATGAACACTAACCATAACAAAAGGCAGCATCGGATACAAAAATGGCGTCTGCCAACATGCCAAATAATTCTTTTAATGGGTCAGGAATCCCAACAATGAACCTGCCTGCAAGTTGAAAAAAATCCTAGGTTCTTGCAATCAATGACTTTGATATCTCACTAACATCTTGATCTGGATAAGAAAGAGCTCTACCTCAAATGCCAAGTTCATAGAAACGCCGTACATGTCGATGTCTTGGGCGGCTTTCGCATCAGCGTCTGGCACAACAACGGTTCTGAATAATGGCATACCTCGATCACAACAAAGAATCCAGGCACAAACTCCAATGATACGTCACACTTTGCTGTCTGAAAAATTAGAATTTTCGATATTACGACAATTAAGTCGACTTGGACTTTATCGATCGCCATTCTGTACAGCGTGGACATAAAGCTAAGGACTTACTACTCTCATAACTTCGGGTGAGTTTGAATTTGAGTAGATCAATGCATTATTCGACTCCCAGTGAACTCATACTTGCTCATGCCTTGATTGAAAATGATGCTCTTCCTTTTCTCTTTCCCCTCTGTTTTTTTTTTCTCCGGTTCTTTTTTTCCTCCCATTTTAATAATTCTTTCAAAAACACCTTGAACGTTGACATAAATGGGTCATTACGCTGTAAAATAATTTTTTTAGATCTCTTTAGGCCGTGATTGAAGAACAGAAGCAGTATCTGCTATCATCTGAATTAATGAGCCTTTTTCTCACTGTGTTCTTATCATATACTTAGGCAAAATGTGTGTTGGTGATGGTCCCATTTTATCAATTATTATTACTTTCATCAAATCATACATATTTAATCGTAATATTATTATGTGGTGGGAAATAAAACTATTATTATTATATTATTATTATTGAATATTGAATCACTGAAAAAAATACAGTTCCGCACCCATAGAACGATATTATTCATATTTATGATATGGGTTTGATAGCTCAATGAAGGTGGGCCAAATACCAGATTTGAAATAGATCTCATTCGAAGTTTCTCTTCATCTTCTGGAAGCGAGGCTGATTACAATGAGGGCTTTTATTTTGACCACAAATTTGCGCCACTAGAGCGTCAGTCAAAAGTCACAAAATATTTTCATATAGCCGTCAAGGCTGAGACCATTTTATTCGAAAACTTGAAGAAATTTAGTAACTTATGAGAACAATTAGGAAAGCTAGAGTGATGGTAACTCTTGATCAGTCTTGCGTATTTCAACTTTGATATAGGACTCTATGTCCAGTTTTTACATTTACAAAAAATATATATAGTAGGCAGAGGCCAGATGAAACAAAGAGAAGTTGACTTGTCAGTTATACAAACTTCCAAAATATGTTTTTCATCATCAATGAGAGATGCACTGTTCATCATACGGTATAATTCTTCAATAATTTTCCTTAGAATCCTATTTCGAGTAATCAATAATAAAAATTCACTTAAGGCAGGAATGCTCCGAAGCAGAACATACGATTGATACTTCAGGGATGCAATCTTCGGTTTATTTATTCAGAATTTACTCGAGATCAATTCTTGATGGGAGTTTTTTTTCGATAATTGGATCGCACGATCAATAATTCTGAAATATTCGTGGAATGGCGTATGTGGCTGCAGTAAATAGGGAGAGACATTTCTAGCTTTTGCAGGTTATGCCTAATTCGATCGATTTTTGTTAATTAGAATCAATAAAATGACAATTCTTTGTAGCAAATTCCATTACCTCTTGTAGCATCTTCGTAGTTGGACCAAATTGTGCATTCTCTGAGAACTCACACCATGGATTTTTTTCTCTGGTGCAGAAAGCATGAGGCATATCTGCAAGAGAAAACGATTTTTTCAATGCATTATTCCTCACAAATCTTGTTATTTTATGTACATTTTGTGTTCCTCTTGAAAAAACATGAAGAAAAATCAGTATTCCAATTAATAGAAGTTGAGATAGAAAGGCTCACCCCTACTCCAACAACTAGAGGGGGCTGGGCTAATGGGTGATAGGCGAGGCTCTAGCAGGCTAAGGGCATGGCCTAGGAAATATAGGTTCTATGAGGCGGAGTGGGTATAGGGGTTGGGCCTTGAGTGGAGCCTATCGGGATTGGATTGGGGTGAGCTTGGCTCTGATAGGTCAAGAGGGTGACATTGAAGTATTTCGACGTGAAGGAGTGAAACACCGATGTGATTGGTTGTGGGTGTTGTATTATTATTATGGTTGTTGTGATGGGTAGCGTGGAAATGGCTGAAAACATGGCGGTGATTGTATGACTCGGGAAGTGGATTTCTTTGGTTGCTTTCGACAGCTGATAGTTGACAGATATCGTTTGGTAGCGATGAAATATGACTCAATACGTGAGACTTGAGGAATTGAATGTGAGACATTGAAATTGATCAAAATATGTACGGAGTGGATAAGACACTATTTTCAGGAATCAACAACTTACCTATCACAATAAAAAAAAACAAAACACATTAAGAAGATATATAAACAAAATCAACTGGCGTCTTAGGGTGGATTTGTATGTGTCTGTCAGCAATGTGGCACTTTGATGAAATTCCATCATTTATCGAAATATTTACTAACTAACACACACTTCATATAACCATAAAACCCAGCGATATTTCTATAGATTTTGATTAGTGCTGACTTTAGCGCATCAGGAGGAAAAGAAGCATACTCATTGAATAATAAATATCACAAATAGTCCAGCACGTACCTACTTATTCCACCAACTACTGTAGACTCACTGAAGGCAGGTAATGCTCCGTTCCTTTCAAGACCGATCAAACCGTAGCGAGCGTGGCTGACTGCCTCAATATATATATTTTGTATTTCAATGGATGAAAAACGATGCCAAAGTCCTTATTAGAAGTATCTTTCGGTTGGACGAATGCTAGGAAGTTTCACCACCGTATGTGCCGCATTTTTGTACCTCTATTTTGAGTACGCAGGTACCCGCTTAGGCCAATGAGTACAATTTCAACTTTCTGATCAATACGTTGGGATCTATCCTCTGCTATATGCTGCCAGAATGGGAGAATGTTTCTGTACCTGGTCAGTCATCGATTTCCTAACGTATTGGATATGAGAGAGCTACCTAGACCTACCTTATATAGGTTTCGGTCATTCTTCCGAATATCAAATCAAAGGGCTGGTTCATGAAGCTGATGGATGAATATAAAAGTCAATGAAATCAATCGTTATTCCTGAGGTAGGAGTAGTAACAGCAATGGCCTCAAATGAACCAAGCAAGCAGATACCGACCTGAAGAAAAAAATTTCCTCACGGTATGCATGGCTCATTGGCTCATTAGACGTTTCTGGTGAAATAGACAACGAATCACTTCGAAAATTCAATGGAGAGCATCTATTGGACATTCACACCACAACTAGAATATTTATGATGATACGGAGTTGTCACTAGCAACTCACGAATAAAACAACCTGTTTATAATAATTATCAATTCAAGATTTGTCAACACTACATTATACATGATTCCATCAACCAATTCTTTTCCACCATCTCGTTAAGATCTGCCTATATGGAATGCTGAAATCACATATGCAGTTACCAAATATTCATCAAGTATATCAACTACCTCATAGCATAACAATATAGACAATATCAAATTATTACATTGAGAGATATATATTCAATTATTGAGTTTATTACAGCGTTCTCTTGTTCCTAAGAGGTTTAGCATCCAAACATACGCACATGCTCCCAGATAACATTGGAGGAAAACAAATCGAGGTCTCTAGTTAGATTTGATAGACGATAATAATATTCTTGATATCTTAGGAATATTATTAGAAGTAAAAGTATTCGAAAGGGTGGATAAAAAAAAGAGGAATAGTCACTCAAATATCACATCTGTAGTAGTATACAATTAACGGGCGTACAATGGGCAAATCGGTATCTCTTTATTAAGTCAAAAATGTTAATCCACATGACATCCTTCAAATACTTAACGTTCCCTTGGACATCTCTCGTGTACAGGGTGATTATTAAGCTAACCATAACTTACAAGGTAAGATATCAGTGAATTACTATTCTATATCTTCTACAGTTCGGCCATACTGATGTACAGATTGCCCTCGATCTGAATTATCCTCAGAGTCTTCATCGGAAGAACTTTCTGACATTGATGTGCAGTCTGGAAGATACATTCGCATGCAATCACTCGGCAAAATGTTGAAAAAAAACCTTCGAGTTCTTTGTGCTCCGGGTATATCCTCAACTACGTATCTGTCATGGTCAAGAACTCGTGTGACGACATATGGTCCAAGATACTTCTTCTGCAATTTTTTTGGTAGTGAACAGTCAATACTATTTGATTTGATTAACACATAGTCTCCTTTATTGAATTTGACCGATTCCTTCCTCTTGGAGTCATATTTTTGTTTGTTGAATGCCTGTACAACCTTTTGAATTTCTTCGGCCTTTCTACGAATAACTTCTCGATCTTGATGATGATTGCATACATTCGACTGAAGAGTATCTAATATAATATCTCTAAGGTACTGATCACTATGGATTCTGAGATCATATCCTAGGAGTACTTTAGAAGGTGAGGAATTCAAACTGCGTTGGTGAGTTTTGTTCAATATCAGCTGAATTTTTGGTAGTTCATCACACCAATTATCTTCAGTGTCTAATAGCTTGGCTAATAAATCGCAAATAGTCTTATTGTACCTTTCACATTGACCGTTAGCTCTCGTTGTTGCAGTGGCTGTTGTGACATGTACAACATCATGTTTCGAAGAGAAAACTTTGAATTCGTTCGAGGTAAATCCAGATCCTTGATCAGTAATAATTCTTCTGGGCGGTCCGGAGATATTGAATATGGATGCGAGTGAATTGATAACTCCTTTTGTTGATGTACTTTCAGTAGCAGATAGGAAGACAAATTTGCTATAACTGTCTATGATAACTAGAATGTAACGAAATCTTGTTAGTGAACTTCTGAAAGGCCCCATATGATCACAGTGCAGGGTGTCAAAAGGGGTGGATCCTTCTTCAATGTTATGTAATTTTCCTGCAGGTTTTCCATTTTCAGGGTTATAACTTAAGCAATGAATGCAGTTTTTCAAACAGTTCCGAACATATTTTCGTAATTTTGGGAACCAGTAGGTACGTAAAATCAGCCCCTATGTTTTGTCAAGTCCAATGTGTCCATTTTGGTCATGAGCACTATGTACGATAGTATGTCGCATACATCGTGGCATAACAAAAAGTGGTTGTTTTTCGAAGTCATAATACAGAATTCCGTTTTTGAGCATATAATCAGGGTACAAGCAATGTTCCTCTTCCTCAAGTGTTTTGACGATTCTACAAATTTCTTTATCTCTGTTTTGCATCATTTTCAAAAAACGAATTTCATCATTTTCATTAGGAATCATTGTAGTAACCATTGTTACACGGCTCAAAGCGTCAACATGTTGCATTGCAGATCCTGGTCTATGCTCCAAAATATAGTCGAAGTCTTCTAAAAGCACTGACCATCTGTATATACGAGAATTTATTTCTTTTTTGGAAAGTGACAGTTTCAACGCATTACAGTCCGTTACCAGTTTGAACTTTACGCCAAGTAAATAACTTCTGAATTTGTCCAAACTTCTCACGATAGCCAGCATCTCCAGTTCGAACGAATGATAGCGAGATTTGGCATCCGTAGTAATTTTCGACATGTAATGTATAGGGTGGAACTTGTGATCGTCTTGCCGTTGTGAAAGTACTGCTCCATAGCCATATGAACTTCCGTCAGTGTGTAATTCAGTTTCTCGTGAAGGTGAATAAATAGAAAGGACTGGTTCACTTGTTAATAGATGTTTCAACTTATTGAATGCTCGTAATTCTTGAGAGGAAAACTGGAATTTCTGCTGTTTCTGCAGGAGTTTACTTAGAGGTCTTGCAATTGTCGAATATCCTTTTATGAATTGACGGAAATATCCTGATAGTCCCAAAAATCTGGAAACTTGCTTTGCATTATGGGGAAGAGGAAATTTGTCGATTGCTTCAATTTTCCGAATACTGGGCCTGACTGTGTTCTTACTTATTCTGAATCCTAAAAATTCGATCTCGGTTTGCAAGAATGAGCATTTGTCAAATCTCAATTTCAAGTTGAACTGATTTACCAGATACATCACTTTCGTGAGATGATCAATTCCTTGTTCAATTGTATTTGAAGGAATCAGAATATCATCCATGAAAATTAATACGACACATTGTCGTAATAGGGGCTCAAAAATCCTATGAATATATCTTTGAAATGATGAGGGTGCGTTACACAGTCCAAAAGACATGAAGTTGTATTCAAAAAATCCATTATGTACGACAAAAGCAGTATACTTTTTGCTGTTCTCAGAAATCGGTACATGAAAAAATCCATTTTTTAGATCTAATGATGAAAAAGAAGTCATATCCGACGATATGAATGATAATGTCATAGTCTTCTTAATTTTTATAGTAATTCTTGTTTGTCCTAAACTCTCACATGTGATTCCTGATAGACCAATGAGTTTGATAGTTGGATGGGAAATATCTCCATCAATTCCAATAAGCCCAGCTTGACTTTCTTGAATTAAATTAACAGCACTTCCTGTACCTATCAACGCATCAAGGTGACGTTCGTCAATCGTGATTCGTCATTTCATCACAATTGTCCACCATCATCATATTAGATTTCCTTTTGCGATCACGTGCTAGGTGACCTTTCGTATTGCATTGAGTGCATTGTACTTCTGAACATTCTTTCACACGATGTGAACCATTTATGCAATAAGGACATATCAAAGGGTCGAAGGTATTATTCTCTCTAGTC